GGCACAGGAAGTTCTGAAGAGCAAGGTCCCAGAAGCAAGTCAAGCTCAGCAATGCAGAATTATTCAGTGGATGGTGGAATGGCTCCAGGCCTTGCACTGTGACTGGAAAAAACTGTACAGTTCACCCTTACACATACATTCACAGAATATCCTGAATTGGAAAGAGCCCCATAAGAAGTTCTCAGTTCAGCTCCTGGCTCCAGTCAGGAGCACTCAAAACCCAAACCCTGTGTCTGGGAGCATTGTCCAGATGTTCCTTGAACTACAGCAGCTTGGTGCTTTGAGCACTGCCTGCAGAGCATAATCCAGTGCCCAATTACCCTCTTGGTGAAGCTGTAGCTTGCAGTGAGGTCTTCCCTGATGGCCTGTGACCAACGACTGCTTTGTCTTTCATATATTTTTCAGTAAGTCAACAGAACACTCTTCAGAATTTCTCTAGTCAATGAAGTGAGACTGATGGGCCTGCAATTACCAGGGTTGTATTTCTTATCTTGCCAGCTTCTGGTTGAATGGGGATGGATTTCACACGATTATTGAAAATGAAGACAGTCACATTGTGTACTAGTCTTCTAGGGTGTCAGATAGTGATTTTGGTTTCTATAGGTGGAAAAAAATCTCTTGCAGATACTGCTTAAAGCATGGACTTCTGGCATTGTCTGAACACGTTTTGTGTTTGTATTGATGTTTACCAGTGACTCTCACTATAATGAAAGTTGTTGCATAAAAATGCATGCTATGTTTTCTTCTCCAGAGGTTCCAGCTCTGTTTAGGCAACAGTGCTGATGAGTGAAGCATCTGGCACTATTTCTTGCATTCTCTCTGTTCAGTATGCTGATACCATATCACAGAATCACAGTACAGTTTGAGTTGGAAGAGACCCTTAAGATCATCCAGTTCCAACTCCCTGCTATAGACAGGGGCAGCTCCCTTTAGACCAGGTTGCTGAAAGCCCCATCCGTCTCCCTTCCGTGCAGTTAACTGTAAATGCTTGACTTAAAAGTATCTTTTTCCTTTTGTGGTTCATTTGGTTTTAGATAACCTGTGAGTTACTTTACTGCGTTTGACTTCACAGGTTCTCTGAGCAGACAGATTGCCTTTCACATCCATTGCAACTGAGAAACAAAGCAAGAGTACTTTGTTCTTTATCCTTCCTTCTTGCGCAGGGGCTCCTAACAGCCCCGTTCACTGGAGGTCCTACCACTGCTTTGGAGTTTGAGGAAGCCACTTGACTTGAAGTCTGCTTGCCTGCGTATCCACAAGTCAGGCTTTTTGACTGCTGTTATCTGAATTGCTCTGTCTTAAATAAAGCTTCCCGGGGTGCCCACATGCAGTTGTCTGAAGGATGTTCTGCTGCTGCTGCTCCACTTGTTCAGCTTTCTTAGCTTCTACTTGACAAGCCTCCCAGCCTTGTTAGCTGTCTGCTCATTCCTTGTTGTGTGGTTGCTGGCAGGTAGGTGGTGTTGTGCATTCCAGACAAGGTGCCTCATGTTCTGATCAGTCTCTTTGTACCTATTTTGTATATTTTCTTGTTGAATCTTTAGAAAAACTTTCTTGGGTGGGAATTTCAGGCTACCTGTGAATTAATTGGGGAAAGTCCCGTATTTCTCATTTAAAACTCTCAATTAAGGTTTTTACTGAAGGCAGAAGTGGGTGACTCTTGCTCATATTAGATTTCTGTATTCATTGTGCAGATGCATGTTGTCTGGTGTAAAATGGCAGTGCTGTTGTGATCCTCACTTAGTGTGGTGTAGTTTAAAGAAGGCTTTGCAGTCTAATTTAGAAGTTGTACTTCAGTATAATTTGGGAGAGATTCCTTTGTATTTACTTTTGTACTTCATTTCACTTGGAGGTAAGCCCTGAAAAATGCTGTGTTAAAGAACAGGTAACTCATGACAATGTGGGGTCTTTTCCCAGAAATATGTGAGGGTTTCTGGGCAGCCATAAAACTTTTCCTAAGATTGCTGCTGTTTCTTGTTATGTTTCAAATAGGAACATGGGAACTGACAAGCTTTCTCAAAAGGTATCCAGGTTTCACGGATCTTGCTAAAATAGCATTTGACTCTGTTTAGGGTAAGGGTAAATGATGTAAGAGGAGTTAATCAGTAGGCATTGTTGAAATGAACAGTTTGTGTTGTTTCCTACTGGGGACTCTTAAATGATGAATTATTACTGCGCCTTTACTCAACTACTTCTGGAGTCATTGGGAGCTTTAACTTCATTTCTCAAGGAAACCTGAAAGGCTCCCTCTCACTGCCTCTGCTTTGTACTGAACGTATGGTCTGTGATGTGTGTGTTTTAAAAACATTCAGAACGTGCAGTTAAAAGGAAGTCTGGTACTCATAAAACCTTTGTGTGTACTTGAGGTGGTAAAAGTACAAGCAGTGTGCCTGTTCTTAACAGTTCTGTGCTTTTCAAATCTTGCAGACTTGAAATTGTTCTGTAAGTAGAGAAATGGGTGTTGAGTGCACAGTAAAAGGTGGTCAGATTTTTCTGGACTTAGTGTAGAGCTGTGGATAAAACCAAGAGCAAAACAGCCTGCTTTGTAGACGTGATAGTAGCTCAAGCATGCTTTGCTTGATGACCTAAACTCAGTTTCCAAAGAGGAAAAAGGGAATTGAGAATCGGATCCTGTTCATTAGGTTCTGGCAGTCTGACCCTCCTCGATTCTTCTTTGAAGACCCTAATGCAGCACTGCATTTGAATTATCTGCATTTGAATTACCTTTATCCAATTTACAATGCTGCTAGCCTTGTTGCTAACTACGCTGGGATCAGGGTTCCCTGTTTGTGCTGCTCTGGCTGCTGTCTTCAGCATCACAGGGAAACTTCTGTAGGTGGAAAACTGGCATTCCATATTTCTAAGGAGCACCTTGTCAGGGGATAGGGTAGAGAAGAGGGTTCCAAAATGTGTTTTTAGAGGAAAAAAAGACAAAGCTTTCAAGACCATTATTGTATGGGATGGTTTTATGTCATGGGTTGATACATGAACTCCGTCAGCTGCTACAGGCAAAGCCTTCAGAATTCATCTTTTTGAGAACTGTTTTTAGAAGGCTGTAGGATTTAAGTCAAGGTAAAACAGGCCTTGCAGTGCAAGTTTGAGATATTGGTCTTCTGCTCTGAGTGTAAGGCAAATGGAAGTGGGAGGGTTTAGCACCTGTTGAGAACTGCATGCTGTGTTCTGTGGGAGCTTCTTGCTAAGTGGGTGAAAAGGACTAAAACTGAGGAATTGGTCATGTAGTGGATCTTGTTCAGAAGAAAAACAGATTTGCACTCTTAGAATTGATTTTGTAGCAGAAATTGGTCTGTCCTCCCTATAAGCAGCAGAATGACAGAATGGTTTGGGTTGAAGAGACCTTTAGATCATCTGGTTCCAACATCTTTGCTATAGGTGGGGACACCTCCCACCAGACCAGGTTGCTCAAAGCCCCATCCAGCCTGGCCTTTTACACCTCCAGGTAGGTGGTATCCACAGCCTCTCTGAGCAACTTGTTCCACTATCTCACTAACGCTAATCCTTTGTAATGGCTTGTCTGAATCTCCCTTCTTCCAATGTGAAGCCATTTTCCCTTTGCTCTGTTGCTAAATGCCCTTATGAAAAGTTCCTCCCCAGCTTTCCTCTAGACCCCCTTCAGGTACTGGAAAGCCACTATAAGAACCTCCAGAGCTTTCTCTGGTCCAGGCTGTAAAGCCCCAGCTCCCACAGCCTGTCCTTGTATGAGAGGTACTCCAGCCCTCTGATCATTTTCGTGGCTCTCTTCTGGACCCACTCCAACAGCTTTGTGTTCTCCTTGTCTCGGGGGCTCCAGAACTGGATGCAGTACTCCAGGTGGAGTTCCACAAGAGCAGAGTAGAGGGGCAGAGTTGCCTCCCTCACTCTGCTGGTCGCACTTCTCTTGAGGCAATCTAGGATGATACAATTGGCCTTTTGGGCTGGAAGTGCACATTGCTGGCTCATATTCAGTCTTTGGTCAACCAACAACCCCAAATCCTTCTCCTTAGGGCTGCTTTCAGCCATTCTCTACCCAACCTGTATCTGTGCTTGGGATTGCCCCAACCCACGTGTAGGACCTTGCACTTAGCCTTTATATGGGAACTGTTGAGTCACGGCCTGAACCATTGGTTGAGCACCTGGGGAAAGGAACCAGTCAGCCCTGGGAGCATAGGTGAAGGCGATTCATAGTATAAACTACCTAGCCTAGAGTTAACAAACATGCTCTTAGGACTTTTCAGGGAAAGGTGGGATCAAGCCCACATCCGTGTCTCTGTTACTGGAGGTCACCGCAGGCAATTTGCAATACTGCTTGAGATGGCCTCACTGTCGCTATGGATCTATTAACAGAGACAGTCTGTGGGTGCAAGGGTGATCATTTGCATGATTGATAATTTCACTGAAACTATTTTTAGGTCATTACTTGTTGTTGACTAATGGAAAACTAGGAAACATTTCTAGGAAAACTGATTCTGAATAATGAAAACTCAAAATGTGGTCAGTGATAGAAAGTACAATTTCTAGATTCTGCGGGGTGGTGTGTGCATGTGTATATGTGCCCAGAATTTGATGTTTTGCTAGGGTTTTAACTGTGTTCTAAGCAAACAGAACTTTTCCGTTTTTAAAGCCTAAATGAAGTTTGGACCAATTAGCTGTATGATACAGAGTAGGATGATTCAGCATCCACGGTGGGATCTATTATAGTTAACTCTGTTTTCATTTGAAGAAAAACAATAGCAGTGAGTTTCAGGCAGTTTGAGCAGATGCTAAGGGAAACCTCTGCTGAAGCAGAGGAACGTCTCAAATAGCTTGATCTTGAAAGCTGACTTCATGAGCTCCTTCTTTCATGCTACCTTCCCAAAGGTGAAATGCTGTGCTGCAAAGCTACATAAGCAGTATTTCCCTGAAGCCTTGTTTACATCCACTGTGAACTGTTCACTTTCACTGAATTGTGTTTTTTAAAGCATAAAGTAATATAACTGAACTCCACTCATTTTATCCATCTCTTTCAGGTTTTCACGACTGTTCTGTTGCTGTAACCACCATGGATGTGAATGCTGTGGTGATAAAGGCTTGCCGTTGTCTCATTCTGGATTCCTCAAATCCAAGAGCTACTCAGCAGTTTCCAAGGCAACCACCTGTGGAATAATTAAAAAGGATGAAGTGTTGGTGTGCCAGATGCACGAAATTCTTGCCTGGAGAGAGCACTTCGTTTTCAGCTGTTTCGAATGTGATTCTGCCAGCACAGTTCAGGTAGCACAGTTAAAGAATACTGGTTTGTTGTCTGGAATTACTGAAAGTTTGTCTAAGAGCAGCAATCCCTTTATGACCAGTCGGAGCTCACTTAGAATGGTCATAGATCCTTCAGTGTTGAATTTTCTGTTCAAATATATTAAAAATTGGAGAATGGTAATGGAAGAGCAATGTGGGTGAACAGTGCATCACATAAGTAAAACATTTGCATGTACTGTTTTATGGTTTTTGCTGTCTTTACTCATAGATGAATTTAAGCTGGTAAGGACTGAAACGGAGTGTACATGAAACGGAGTGTACATGAGTGGAAGCATAAATATAGGAAGTGGAGACTTCATGCCAAGTGCACTGAGATTTCTTTGGCGTTCAGTGGAGTGGTGGATATAAAAGGAGTGGGTTCACAGCAAAATGGCAGGGTCAAGGCTGTTTCTTTATCTCATGGCTTACTAAAGAGTGTGCAGCGATCAAGTTGATTTAACCGATGATCAGGTTCGGTTCTGCTCTGGTGAAGCTAAAAAACATTTTTAAGACAGGTTCAGGAGATGAAATGTCATAGTGGACCAGAAGGTAAGGAAAAGAGCTCTGTCAGAATAACAAAACCCCAAAATGCTGAGTTCAGCTCTGAAAGTTTAAAACATTACTACAGAAGTTTATGGAGAGCTCCTAGGCTCTAGATAGAACTGGAAACATCATTATTTAAGTATAGCATGTTGCTGGACCTATCTGCTTGTTATATCTTCCTTCTCTGCCAGTCATTCAGACGTACTTGAATAGAAAAATATTGTTCATTTCTGACAATGAAGTTAAATGGAGAAAGCCACATTTCACGTTCTTCTCATAGTCCAAATAACTGCTCAGTTAAGTTTGGTTACCTAGTTTAATGCTTTTGTGTAGTTTGTTTTGGGTGTGATGCTTTTGTGTCATTTATTTTAAGAAAAAAAAAATTCTAAATTTTAAAGCAGAAATATTTGGGATACCATCTGGACTTTACATAATAAATTTTTACTGCCAAAATGTTTGTGGGATTCTGTTCGGATGTGGATGGGATTTCACATTCCATGCCTTTTACAGCACAAGAGGATCATTGTTTTTTAGATACGGTGGGTCCAAGAAGAAATAGAAATTGCTTGATGGCAGCTTTTAGATTGGATGGAATATATGTAGAAGGCCATTTAATCTAGTAAGTTGTTACCTTTTAGAGCTGTTACAGAATCTCAGAAGCTAATGTTTGTAGGTACAGTCTGAGTGAGACTGTCATTTTATACCCTAATACTTATTTCTAGTTTTACTGTTGTCACAGCTTAACTATTAGATTGTTTATTTTGAGATGCTGCTTCAGGCAGTTCACTTTTCTCAATATACAGCTGAGGGAGGCTTTTCTTTTTAAGGAAGAACTACTGCTTTTACCCTATGAAAAAATATGCTGGTGAACTATCTGCAGCAAGCATGGAGAATATAATGTAAAGCTGACATACAAGTGCAGTAGAGGAAGGTATTGTTTGTGTGCATGCATGTACATGTGGATCCAAATGCTTTCCAAGAAACATGAGTAACCCTGAAAGGTAACTTGTATACTTGTGCAAGAGTGTCCAGGTGTATGTGTGTAAGACTGATACATGATAGTTATGTAGCAACTGATTGAAGTGAGTCAACAATCCCAGAGGAGAAGAGCTTCATCCTGGGCACGTTTTGAAAGCATCTTTGTCGTATCCAAGTGCCTCAGTTTTTCTTTTTCCCCTCAGATAGTGTGGGTGAGGTGACTCTCGTGAAATGTGAAACTTCCAGGCAGCGTTGAAGCTGATGGTGGAAAGCAGGTAGGGAGCTTCAGGGAGCTGCTCAGCCTACACCTTTGGAAAGGATGACAGCTTCTGGGGCACATACCTCATACTGTTGATTTAGTCCAGTAACTAAGCCTGGATGTTTGATACTTCTGGGTGTGTTTACGTGTGAATTTCATGTATGCACACTTCTTTCTCTATGTTTCATTCCTAATCCAGAAATATAGTGGATGTGAACTTGATTACTGATACAATCCAGTTATTTCCAACTCAGATGTCTCACCTTGGCAGTCTTTCCAGACTTTGAGCATGGTGGTTCAATACCAAGAGTACTTGAGGGTTTGTTAGTGTAGCATGCACGTTTTCATTTTAATAGAAACAAATTTTGGGCAGTTAGACTGTATTAAAGAAAATGGAGTGGCTGGGCAGAACTGAATTCTTATCTATGAATATAGCTTCTGTTTTACTGATTGTTATCTCTGAGATAATTTATGTTATGGAAAGGGAGTAGAAACTTAGAAGCATTGATTTGTTCACTAGTTCTGATTTCTTTAAGCGATTATAGATGGCAACATAGAGTTCATTTCTGCAACCCACGCTATCAAGGATTAGTGCTGTTTGCAGCTAGAACAAGTGCAACTTTTTTCGTACTCTTTCTGTAAGGAGAGAAATGTTTGTTTCCATGTTGGGGTAATTTGAGCTCCTTTTGAAAGAAGAAATGGGAATTAGTGATAGAGTAAAGCTCTTATTAATTATCTGTCTGGTTATTATAGCTCTCCTCCAATTTCTGTGCTGTTGGTACAGCTGTATTGAAGGAGTCTGCTAGAGTGGGGTTGTCTAGAAGGGTGACTAAAATACAGGTTGATTTTTGTCATGTAAGTAGTACTGCTTCCTAGAAAGATAACATTTTCCTGTTGTTGCTGGGAGATCAAGGTATTTTTTGGATTGGGGGTTTTCAAAGGGAATTTTCCCTTCTGGCAAGAGAAGTCAACAGTAAAAACATAGAGGTGATAAGGAGAAAGGAGAGTTAGGCAGCAAACACCTTCCATTTCTTGAGATGGGAACTCCAATGAGGAATTGACCTTCTTGCCTAGGCTTTATCTGGGGCAGCTAATCTCTGCATCTCTACTGGATATTTTAAGATATGTCAGCCCGGTCAAGTACATCAAGCATTTCATTAAAATGTTGTAGAAATGATGTTCAGCAGTGATTTCTGGGAGCGTCAGTCGTCAGGGTTCTACGTAAAGTCCTGTATCTCAAGATTTTTAGGGCCATATCTTTCCTCTCTGGCTCCTCAGAGATGAGAAAAGTATGAAGGAAGTTTTCCAGATGCGTCAATATAAGGCAGTGTAAGACTTCAGAATTATGTATTTAGTGGGGGGATGGAACACAGCTTTAAATTGTGAACATCTGTGTATTTGCAGAGGGATGGGAAGAGATGAAAACCTGCCAGCTATTCAGGACGTTTTACCTGTGCAAGGTAAAATGATTTTTGGAGAAGTAGTAAGTATGAGACTAAAGAGCAGCTGTTCTCATGCACACATCCAGAGCTCCATTTTTTTCCAGCAGTGGTATAAATAACTGAGTAAATACAGAGTGCAGGACAGAGCAAAGCCCTGTGATTCTCCTTGTGTGCACTCTTTGGTCTTCAGACATTTGTAGTGCGAGGATTGACTGAGCTGGGTAACTTGCTGAGCTTACAGGATTTGACTACTGAATTTGTTTCATCTTTCCTTCGAGCCGTAAGAAGTTTTAGCACGTGTAATACTTTGTGGTTCAACAGATGAATGAGCATGACAACAGTAAACGAAGGATCATATCTGTTCAAACCTGAATTCCATTCCTTGTACTGAAATGGAGGTAAATGACTGATCCCTGCTTACTCTCTCCACGGTGATCATAATTTTATAGACTCAGCCTTCTCTAGGACTCAGTTCAAAGTCTGTTGACTTATCTTTTTTTTTTTTTTTTTTAATCCACATAGCCTACTTCAAACTTGTTTTCACAGATATCTTGAATTTCACAACTGAATCTCATTGATGTATTTTAATGTCCAGTCAGGTACATCTTCGTGGTTTGTTCGTTTTTAGTTTTTCCTACTCATCTGCTGTTTCAGCTACCCTGAGTAACTGAGTATCATCAGCAGTCTGTGTTAGGAGCATATACAAAATTGTGCTGAAGGAGGGAAGTTCAGCAATTGAATGAATATTCACACTACTGAATGTACGGTGGTTTTAGGTGATTTAAGTGTAGGAAGTTACCTTAGCAGCAGAACTATTAGTAGTTCTTGTTTTCTTTTTTGAGCAATTGCCTACTTCAGTAACAGGAAAACAAGAGTGCCCATAATGACTCAAAATAGGACACATAGCCTGAAATCATTTTCCTGAGTATCAGTGGGCAGCTGCACCTTCAGGAAGTGTGCAGAAAGAGGGAATGCAGCCCTGCTTCCAAGGGCAGAGTCCAGCAGCCTGCTGGAGTCCTGAACTGTGACAACATCGTCATAGCTTCCATGTGTTTCTCTAATATGAATCCCCCTTGTCTTCCTTCAGGTCTTAGAGTTGTGAAGACTGGTTTTGCGTACAGCTCATCTCAGTTTGTGCAGTGCTCTTGCCCCTCGCTCAGGCAGTTATCTCCACGTACTCCATATGCTTTGCCTTCAGCCATTTCTTTGTCAGGCTGAGGAATCTTGCCTAGTATCACCTTTCCTCTTGTGGAAGCTGTTTCTGACTCTCATCCTTGGCATGCTGCTGTCACCCTGTATCTAAGATGGGAGGAGCAAAGCAGTGTGCCGGGCTCAGGGTACAAACATGGAGCAGATGAGTCAGCATCAAATTGCTGCTGCTTTACTTTGTCTCTGTTCTCTGCCTAGTTATTCCTGAAATCCAGTTGCGTTCTGCTATCATCAACCCTTGTGAAAGCCGTGTTTTCATAAAGCTATCATATTCATAAAGACTTCAAGGCTTTTCTTAATGAGAATAAACTAATTTAGAACCCATCACTTTGGGTGTAGTTACTTGGTTTTTTTTTTTTTTCACAGATATTGCATTTATCTACTTGAATTTCATTTTCTGCTTTCTGTCCTAGTCATGCTACAACGAGCTGGAAAAAAAGGACTGAGAATAACGCTTTGACTTGCCCGGTGTTTTCTCTTCAGTAGACTTGAGTTCTCACATTTAATAATTTTCAGTGTAATTTATGGTTGCATATTAAATGACAAAGATC